CATGAAGTTGTGAGTTAAAATCCCAAACTATCTTCAAGTCAAACTTTTTTTTTCATTGTTTTGGTGATCACGCTGGTACAAAAAGTACAAGCCAAAGAAGGTTGCTGCGCCAAACGACTTGTTGTTGTTGGAGCTCGCGTTTCCTGCCGAACTTACTGACACTTGACTGGTTCACGCCATGTGAACACAACCACAACACTGAAACGGTGTGAGTGAACACGGAAGTCATTGCGCTGGTGCTACGTGTTGTTGAATACAACGGCACATCGATCGATCGATTTCTCTTTGAGAATTATTTTAGTATTTCAAGATCGCCAATTTATTTGAATTTAGGAGTCAACGCCGTCTTCTATCAGCTTTCACAGGCGTCTGCTTTTCTCAAAATGTCGTCGAAGTCACACGGATAGCTTTGCCAAGTCATGGCCTTGGGAATGAGTCTGTGTCGATGTCGTTTTCGTCACATCGTGAGAGTAAATTGCATCGCAGCTCAAAGAAATTAGGCACGAAACGAATTGGGACCCATCCCGCTCGTCAACATTTACCACACTTTCGACATGTCTCTGCATATCGATACGAGGCTATCGAGGAAGAACTCGTTTGTTGTAAACCAGACGTACATGTACCAACGTGAGTGAGTTGTCATTTTTCATGCTTTCGCGCGGATTATTTCTTCGAGTTCACAGTGAGTTTTTCCAGCCAGCTCTCGAACGCGCATACGGTAAGACGGCAAACTCCCCGGGCGATCGCCAGGATTGCTAATCTTTTTGAAACTGACTGTAGTTTTTCTGCACGTTATCAGCAATGACTACTGGTCTTCAGCAACTTGGATCTCCTGTAATACGCATCCTGTCTATTATGCTTTCGTAATGCTAACATAATGCTCGGGATAGTACTCGCTACTAGTATTCAGAAACTTGGCCTGACATCCCTCACAATAAGACTGTTGTAATTATGTTCATCGTTCCCAAGCGATCGCTGGTTTCTCCCACAATTTCATCGTACTGTTGTACGACATGCTATACGACATCCTTATACCGTACAGCACTTATATTTTTATTTTTTTCCCTTGAAATGACCAAAAAGAAACAAAGAAAAATGATGGCACCTATGTACAGGGGATGGCCCACGCCTGGTATAAAGTAAAAGTAAAAGAGAAAAAAGAAAAAGAAGGAAAAGGAAAAGAAAAGATAAGATAACAAAGAAAGAGAGGTAAGCAAATCCATGTACATCCACCGTACTTGTGTACAGCACCGTATTTATGTCTGGCGCTGTCGTACGGATTTCCCGTACGCGAAATAGTAAACATTTATGAGCTCTGATCAACTTTTTCGCGATGCGACGCGTTTCCCGTACGCGAAATGAAGTATGAATCGGCCTTGGCGGATAATGCTCGAAAAGGTGGCAGATTCTGCTCGAAAAGCAGTGAAATTGGCAGAACCATACAAACCTTATGGCGGGCAATTCCTCAAATTCTGCTCCATTGCTTTATCCACATACGAAACATGCATGAAACTTACCCGAAAAAGTACCGAATTCTGCCAATTTTTCTGCCGGCATTATCCGCCAAGGCCTACCTTATAGGCCCCGGTGGATTAACTTGCAAGTGGCCATAAGTGCAACAAAATGTTACGTGAGTATCCCCATACCAAGGTGTCAATGAATGCTAGAGATCAACATGGAAATGAGAAAACATTACTTCTTCTATTTATTAGTTGACTTCTTTTATACAAAAGAGAAAGACCAAGGAACTACAAGTTACGCTATACTGTCCACTAACACCACCAGTTACTAAACAATCAGCTCATGCGATAACATTGCACGACACTGACCGACGGTACTGACGTTCTACAACTAACTAGCTAACAGCTCTAGCACATCTTGGATGCGCACTCCAACAGACTTTGAACTTGGAAGGTTCTAAGTTATAGAAATAACATAAGGAGGGGAAGGTGAGCGCAACCAAGATAAGCACGAGCTGAAAGTCATTTCCTTCTGACAGCTGTTTCCCCCATCAAAGGCTCTTCAGTGAAGGTGATACTGAATATTGTAATTGATAATGGTAAATTAGGAAATTAGAGGCCATATGCCTCGTACTGCTCTTTTCTCTCCGAAACTCAACACTTGCAAGCCAGATACGAGAGAAATAAAAATCATCAATGACACCACCGGGACTCTAACCAGGGACCGTGCTATTCGCGAGCAATACTCTAACCAACTGAGCTACAGTATGACTCTTATCCACAGTGATGGCAAATCTTGTCCCAGTGAATTCGCCGTAGCTGCACTGCCCTTCACGCTGGCGGGCTAGATCTGCAAACTCCGTGAATTCTCCCGCCTTCTGTGTTCACAGTCCCATACTCCCCTTGGAGTAGTCTGCACGGCGCTGCTGCTGCTGCTGTTGCTGTTGTTGTTGTTGTTGCTGTTGTTGCTGTTGTTGTTGTTGTTGTTGCTGTTGTTGCTGTTGTTGTTGTTGTTGTTGTTGTTGTTGCTGCTGCTGCTGCTGCTACAGCAGCTACTGCTGTGGCTGTAGTTACAGCCCCTCTCGTTGTCAGGAAATGTTTGCTTGTGCTACTTCTCATCCAGTTGACTTCTTATTATGACTTTGTACGTTATAATTTTGTTGAGCTCCGGTTTTCCCCTTCATTCTAACTCAAGTGCAGTTTAGCGTGTATTGGCTTGCGATTTCCTTTCTTCTGTTTGCTTGGCATTTTATCGCTCCTCAGGTACCCTCGGTCTCAGGTGCTCTCACATTTGTGCAATTGTTGATTTTGGTCCTGAATTGTCCTCCCTGTTGCTTTGCTACCGTCCTCCTCCTTCCTCCACATTTTTTTTCTTAATTGGCCTGATTATGGCATTCGCTTCCATGTAATTGGGCTTGTAGCCCGTGTGTACTTGCGAATTCAAATAAAAATATACATACATACATACATACATACATACATACATACATACATACATACATATTGGCAACTCATACAGTACTAGGCATGTGGCCTCTAATTTCCAAAGACTTTATTTATTTATTTATTTATTTCTGCACATCGTGGCATGTCAAGACAGCCAGTTGAATTGAGGAGAGGGTTGTAATTCTCCGTGTTGTCCAAATTTGAAATTAATATGTATAGGATATTGACCAAGACGAGGTCTATATGGGAAATATAGGCCGAGTAAAAGACCGAGGTCCGCCGAGGTCTTTTACGAGGCCTATATTTCCCATATAGACCGAAGTCGAGGTCAATATCCTATTTATCACGATTCCTTTGCCATAACCCCAAAATTTGAACCTTTAGGAGCTATTTTAACCTTTTTAGTGTAGCATTTGTACTATAGTGTACATAGGATGTTGCTTTTTTGGGGTACAAGACTGTAAGAACAACAGAGTTCAGCATCTGCAGCACAGTGGCTGGGTGGTATAAGGGGTTGCTTGAGATTCATACTGTTGTGAGTTCAAATCCTGCTTGTTCTCTTCCTTTGTCTTCTTTCTTTCAATTTTTCTTTTTGAAGTGGAGAGAAAAATTCTAAGTCCTTCAAAGTCGAAAGATTACAATGCCTAAGTGGTCGATACAAGCGGTCGATATAAGCGGTCGATATTGCGGCGATATGGGTAATATAGGACCAGTCAAGGATCACGAGAATTAGTGGAGGTCGATATAGAAGAGTGATAAGGTACATTACTAGTAATACAGTTGTACGACTCCTTGTTCTTTAAGAGATTAGGATACTAACAATTGAGAGTAAACGGGCTACATTACTAGTAATACAGTTGTACGACTCCTTGTTCTTTAAGAGATTAGGATACTAACAATTGAGAGTAAACGGGCGGGGGGGAGAGAGAACACGATATATCTGTAATACTACGTGAGGATTTCTGAACTGTACGGGGAGGGAAAGCAGAGCGATCAGCAGCAACTCGAGCTACTCCCTGCAGGCGTATGGAACACATGAATGCTTGAAAACTCAGGTAGCCGGGTAATTGTGCGAACCTCACCAGGGAGAGCGTTCCACGGCAGAGCACCAGCAACAGAAAATCTCCGCTGACGGCAGTTGCTACGGTTTGCCTGGCTTAGTAGGCCATTTGACTGCTGATGGCGGGTAGGGGTGCCACGGTACAGGGAGTGAGCAGCGGCTGAATGGCTGTCCGGGGCGGGTTGCCATCGATACAGCGGATGGCTCTGTTTTGCGCGGTTAGCTGTCGTTTCAGCTGACCCTCTCGCATTGCGGCTGAAAAGCAGCAGACTCGAGGAGCCATAAAGCAGGTCGAGCATTATGATCGCCTTCACATACACCTGACGAGAGCGTCTTGATACGCTTCGTGCGCGCCACAGGGCGTCACATTTTCTTGCCAACCTTGGTGACCACATAGTTTACATGGGTGTCCCAATCTAGGCGATTGTCAAGGCGAACGCCGAGGTAGCGCGCAGAAGACGATGAGGGGAGGAGACAGTCGCCGCTGTACTTCCTGTACATGCTGCTAGGAGAGATAGTCAGAACCTTGCTCTTGGCAGCGTTCAAGATGTGGCCTTGGGACTTCAGCCAATCGACCAGAGCAGTTGCCGAGCCCCTACATGCTGTATGCTCGGCACCCAGTACCGTAAGCTGTTTCAAAAATCTGCTCACTCATCATCACGACTTCTTTGGCATATACGTAACCTCAAGAGATGGCTATGCGAATACATCATCAGTATCAGTTGAAACTTGAAATGTTTTGGCAAAGTCGTGGCACAGTAATGCAATTGCACTAGCAACTCGCGCTACATACATGATTGTTGCCTGATGATTGCCAGAGCATGAAACTAACTTGAAGTAGCAGCAAACAAGCCTTGATTGTCCTTGTTGTGATGTTCTGTATTACGCTCTGCCTCCTGGGTGTTGAGCACTGTCAGCACACTGGGTACATCCTCCGGGGAATTGAGCACTGTCAGCACACTGGGTACATCCTCCGCGGTGTTGAGCACTGTCAACACACTGCGTACATCCTCCGGGGTTTTGAGCACTGTCATCTAACTGCGTACATCCTCCGGGGTGTTGAGCACTGTCAACACACTGCGTACATCCTCCGGGGTGTTGAGCACTGTCAGCACACTGCGTACATCCTCCGGGGTGTTGAGCACTGTCATCACACTGCGTACATCCTCCGGGGTGTTGAGCACTGTCATCACACTGTGTACATCCTCCGGGGTGTTGAGCACTGTCAGCACACTGCGTACATCCTCCGGGGTGTTGAGCACTGTCAGCACACTGGGTACATCCTCCGGGGTGTTGAGCACTGTCAGCACACTGGGTACATCCTCCGGGGTGTTGAGCACTGTCAGCACACTGCGTACATCCTCCGGGGTGTTGAGCACTGTCAGCACACTGGGTACATCCTCCGGGGTGTTGAGCACTGTCAACACACTGCGTACATCCTCCGGGGTGTTGAGCACTGTCAGCACACTGGGTACATCCTCCGGGGTGTTGAGCACTGTCAGCACACTGGGTACATCCTCCGGGGTGTTGAGCACTGTCAGCACACTGCGTACATCCTCCGGGGTGTTGAGCACTGTCAGCACACTGCGTACATCCTCCGGGGTGTTGAGCACTGTCAGCACACTGGGTACATCCTCCGGGGTGTTGAGCACTGTCAGCACACTGGGTACATCCTCCGGGGTGTTGAGCACTGTCAACACACTGCGTACATCCTCCGGGGTGTTGAGCATTGTCAGCACACTGGGTACATCCTCCGGGGTGTTGAGCACTGTCAGCACACTGCGTACATCCTCCGGGGTGTTGAGCACTGTCAGCACACTGGGTACATCCTCCGGGGTGTTGAGCATTGTCAGCACACTGGGTACATCCTCCGGGGTGTTGAGCACTGTCAGCACACTGGGTACATCCTCCGGGGTGTTGAGCACTGTCAGCACACTGGGTACATCCTCCGGGGTGTTGAGCACTGTCAGCACACTGCGTACATCCTCCGGGGTGTTGAGCACTGTCAGCACACTGGGTACATCCTCCGGGGTGTTGAGCACTGTCAACACACTGCGTACATCCTCCGGGGTGTTGAGCACTGTCAGCACACTGGGTACATCCTCCGGGGTGTTGAGCACTGTCAGCACACTGGGTACATCCTCCGGGGTGTTGAGCACTGTCAGCACACTGCGTACATCCTCCGGGGTGTTGAGCACTGTCAGCACACTGCGTACATCCTCCGGGGTGTTGAGCACTGTCAGCACACTGGGTACATCCTCCGGGGTGTTGAGCACTGTCAGCACACTGGGTACATCCTCCGGGGTGTTGAGCACTGTCAACACACTGCGTACATCCTCCGGGGTGTTGAGCATTGTCAGCACACTGGGTACATCCTCTGGGGTGTTGAGCACTGTCAGCACACTGGGTACATCCTCTGGGGTGTTGAGCACTGTCAGCACACTGGGTACATCCTCCGGGGTGTTGAGCACTGTCAGCACACTGGGTACATCCTCCGGGGTATTGAGCACTGTCAGCACACTGGGTACATCCTCCGGGGTGTTGAGCACTGTCAGCACACTGCGTACATCCTCCGGGGTGTTGAGCACTGTCAGCACACTGCGTACACCCTCCGGGGTGTTGAGCACTGTCAGCACACTGCGTACATCCTCCGGGGTGTTGAGCACTGTCAGCACACCGGGTACATCCTCCGGGGTGTTGAGCACTGTCAGCACACTGGGTACATCCTCCGGGGTGTTGAGCACTGTCAGCACACTGCGTACATCCTCCCGGTAAACATGAATGTTTTATTATTAGAATCACGGACTCACACTCTCTGTATTGTATTATTGCAGGAAATTTCGCACAAAGCCGAATGTAGAAATTTCTTGTGGATTTTATTTTCGTACAGTGCTGCATGTTAACGTGCACGTGTTCGCATGCAGTACACATCAAGAGGACATAACCCCCCGGAGTGTGCAACTCCACTATGGGTGCTGTCCCGACAGAATTTCAAGTGGACGTCATTTTGATGATGCAATGCGCACTGTACACGGATTATCAGACGAATCCGGAACCTGTGTGGTTGACCGAAGCCGTTCAAGCCGATCGATCCTGTACAAATTATTGCAAAGAAAAACGTGTCATGCGTTGACACCCGTACACATGTTGTAAATCACTGGTGCAAGGAGCATTGCGTCATAAATAATGATGTCAACTTGAAATTCTGTCGGGACAACAGGGTATGTGGGAATTGCACACCCTGGGGGTTATGTACTCTTGCTACACATGTATAGTGTAATCTATCTTGTGTACCATGTATACGCCCGCCGCAAGAGAAGCACGCAAATCTGCAAATGCACTGGATGTGCACCCACAGATTTTCTCTCTTAGCAACGATAGCGAACAAGATCTGAATGAGACAGATCAAGACTTGCGCCAGATAACTGTCTAATCCACACAACTGGCGAAGCCATGTGAATCGACCACCAATTCACATCTCGTCTACACCACACGGAGTACATCGGCATAAAACGGCCAAGACAGTTACCTATGCACACCCTACACTTGCTGTAGTAACCAGTATGGACAGCATGCTGCTTTGATAGAAGCAGACACTAGATACACTGGTACTTTGAAGTGAAATTGGAGTTACTTTACTAACCAACCTCGGCAACTGGGTACTGGGAACCCAGGGCCAACAGACATACCAACAACCTCAGCCATGAAAGCTATTATAGTAACGACACACTGGACTGTGGAGCCGAAACTAGTCCAACTTCAAAATGCTTTGGCAAGAAAGTAGCCTTCCAACAGTGTATGTATGCATGGCATATGCTGTAAATCTGTAACCAGCCATTTTCTTCCGGACGGCGAGGGATCCGGATGAAAGAAGACTGGATAAGCGAGGCCTGACTGCATTCAGTATTTAGCGCCCATAAGCAATTCTGCGAACTCCTCTCCCCCCCCCCCCATGAAATCGTCTGCGTACTAGTAACCTCCATATACTCAGCGTTGCTGAGAGGTTCCGATGACTCAACCCCATGACATAGGGCACAGAACCTATAGCGGTGCAGTACTATGTTCGTACTGCCAGTGTGTAGGTGAAGTACTATGTTAGCACTGCCAGTGTACTTGACATGACTACCTCAAAGAACGGACTACAGATAAATCATGTAGGTGAGGGGCTAGACTGTGATTAGACCATCTGCAAACAATCACTCATGATACGACATTAACTAGTTGGTCTGTTGGTATTGTTGCAGTGACAACACTGAACAATGAAGGCTGACATTGAAATGACTACAGCAGGGAGGACAAACAATGACTGATCTGGTGATCCCAGAGTACTACATGACTAAGCATGGCCAGGTGCAACAGAGTGGTGGCTGGAGAACGAAAGACTTTGAAGAGTTTGTTTAGCACAGTGCTCCGTACTAGGCCAGAGTGCGCATAATCATGGGAAAGAAAAACACTCCAAGGAATGGGGGGGGGGGGAGTGCTCTCTAGGGGATGATGTCCAGGGGGGGGGGTACACTCTAGGGGATGATGTCCGGGGGGGGGGGGGGTACACTCTAGGGGATGATGTCCGGGGGGGGGGGGGTACACTCTAGGGGATGATGTCCGGGGGGGGGGGGGGGTGCACTCTAGGGGATACAATCCGGTGTGGGGTAGAGGATCTTTGTTAGGACAGCCGTTACCATGGCTACTAATCAGCATCAGATTACCATGGTCACCGCAGTGACAATTTATTATAATGAGTTGTCAGTATCAGGTTACAATGGAGTGACAACTTTAGCAGCTGCCAAGGCCACTGTAGCGACAACTGGAGGAGTTGCCAGCATCATATTCATTGCATCCACGACAACTCGAAGATCCGGTTATCTTCTTCATTGACGCTCAACATACGACCGTTCACACCATAATAGCTTAACGGCGTTCCGCCTGTCTGTAGGACTGGCACCCACTGGCCAGTGACTGGAGAGTACAGCCATAGTTGTCCAACCGATATTCGTCTCACATCCTTGCAAACCAACTTGCCATTAATAATCCAGAATCTGGCTTTCTCCGGTGGAGGGTGGCCCAAAATACCCCTCTTCCAAGTAGTAACTGTTTGCTGCCGTGACGTGGATGCTGAGAAAATTTCCGGCCTGGCAACATTGTCCACCTTCCCGTACATGACCACATGGAGATACCCGTCGTAAACAAAACTAGTTAGACTAGTGGAATTTGCCAAGACATCATTGTATCCAGGAATGTTTGGCCAAGGCACCCAAGCCGAATTCTCCACGGCCAAATCCACACTAATGACATGAGGAAGAGCGCAATCTACGTTGCATAGTCTGCTTTCACCTGCCACCACATACAGTGTGCCGTTGCTGATGTGGACACTAAATTTGGCACGAAACGCTGGCAGTCGTACTATTCTTTTCCACCCGCCGTCTTCTCGGTATTTGAAGACGAGAGCTCCAAATTCTCGGAGGTATGTGACCAGCAAATAGAGATTGTTGTTGTCCGCTATGATGTCCAGCGTGGTTCGAGCGTGGGAATGGGAGCGCGGCAACCCGGGCAGGCTGCACAATACCCAGCTCGAGAGGCTGCGGGCATCTGCGCTTTTAATCTTCCATATCCCTGGGCTTAGATGTAGAGTTGTGTAGAGCCTTCCTCTGTGGTATTGAAGTGCCCCTGCCTCGTCACCTCGTTCGATCGGCAGCATTCCAATAGGCGTCCACTGTAGTGAAGGAGACACACAAAAAGACGGACAGACACCCCTGTATCCATAAGTTTCGAGGGAATTGAAAGGGAAAAAGTCTGAACAACAAATGGACTGGGGTGAGTAATGGAGTGTGGTGGTGGGGCCCATTAAGCTCAGTCATCATGTTCATGCATCTGCACATAACGCTACGTACATACGTCGTCGTTTTAGAAAATAAAACAAATCATTTTTCGCGTGAGACTTGGCCGGAAGCCGAGTTTTCCGCATCCGTAGGAACACCATCACCCTCTAGGATCACGGCACTGATGCAGCTCCTAAGCGGTCATCACTGGAACTGTTTTATTTTCTCCAAGCAAGGTTTCGCCATCATGGTCTTCAGTTAGAGGATATCACTGAATGGTGAACATAGACGGTCATGCTACAGGGCTTCGAAGCGATGACGTCGCACATACTTGACAACGCACATACTTGACAACGCACATACTTGACAACGCACATACTTGACAACGCACATACTTGACAACGCACATACTTGACAACGCACATACTTGACAACGCACATACTTGACAACGCACATACTTGACAACGCACATACTTGACAACGCACATACTTGACAACGCACATACTTGACAACGCACATACTTGACAACGCACATACTTGACAACGCACATACTTGACAACGCATGCCAACGACATTTCTGGGTACACACCGACTTTAGCATTCCCTTGCTCTTCACTGCTTTTGCAGGTGGGAATCAATGGTTTGCTGGAATAAACAATTTTTCTACGTGCTCCTCGCTGATAATGGTGTGCTAGGCTGATGGTGCGATGACTGGTCTTCCCAGAAAGAAAGGGTCTGCGATGAGCTTACAAAATATGTCAGAGTTCAATTTTAGCTTCCCTCAGCATCTGTCCGTATCGTAAAGAGAGCAAATTCAGATGTTTGAAGTCACGAGCATAGGATACAGCGCAAAGAATCGCCTCCCACAGTCAGAGAAAGAAAACCTCACCTTCATGCACGACGTACGGATCGATCTTCATGCTCGTCGGGGAAAAGCAAAAAAAAGTGCAGGATTCGCATCCCGATTTGTGATTTTAATTCCATGCAAGTCACTGCTCTACTCCGCCCTGCAGAAAGGAGGACTAAGCTAGCCGAATTGACTCCCGAAAGGACAATAAAAGATTATCCGGGTAGTTTGTGTAAGATATCTACTCTAATCTGCACAAGCCAGGATGTAAAATTTGAATTTTCAGTGCACAACAACACATGCTGGCGGACGCAGTGGTCGTTTGTACCGAGCTGCTACGAAGTTATCTAGTACGTGACGTCGCACTTCGAAGCCCTGCTAAACAAGTGGAGGTGAAAAGTGCATGTACAAAGTTTACAACGAGTGTTTTTCTCGTTAAAACCGTTTACTCTGTGCGCCGTTTGCAGTTCAACTCTTACAGTACAGAACATTCTGGGTGCGGTACACAAATGACTATTTTAGCACACAAAATGTAGATCACGACGGGTATGATAATCCGTGATGTCGCAAAGGAGCTAAGTCAAACAACGCCCACACGCATCTGCCTGTAATTTGTAAAAAAAAAAGTAATGTTTGCCGGATTCACGGCCATATAGCCGGACTTGTTGAGGAGCCCATCAAGCAAAGACGGTCGCATTGGCAGGCCACCCATTATCGTCAGCATCGAAAGCAGACCTCATAAGTGACTTGGGGTGGTTAAGCTTGCCTGAACGCTCATTTGGTGGACCGACGCCGTCACCGTACCCACAAGTTTCACTCATGAACTTATACGTGGGCCACCCCAATAGACCTTATGCCAGTCGTACAGATCTACGAAATCCCGTAGAATCCTGTAGGATCCCGTAGACCCGGTTGGGTGTTCATTGTGTGCTATGCATGCGCGTCTGACCAATTTTAGCCTCATAATTTAATGGCAAGCAATCGCTTTTCCAGCTTCGTCAGGAAAAGGTTTTCGTATGAAATGCCTTCAGCGCCCATTTCTTAGTGGAAATAGCAGGAAACACCGTCCTACACATTCAACACGCAACCGGGTCTACGGGATTCTACGAGATTTCCTGGATCTGCACAACTGACACAAGGCGTATGCGTTCACCAGTCATCGTTTTAATCAACGGAGTGAAGAGGAAAAATCTCAAAGAAGAAAATTGTCTGCAACCACCTGGCCTCGAACCTGGGACCGGAATAGTTTTCTTTTACATTACGCTGCAATGGTATTACACACACGACCCATACATTCTCTCCTTTGACGTAAAAAAATTCAGATTTTGAGTTTTTTGCACTCCATACATAATTTTATTTTCATTATTTTATTGGTTTGGTGAGACTCCCATGATAGGTATCCATTTACCGCTGGAGAATCCGTAAATAAACAAAACTGAAACTCAAACATTGTACGGTCTGGATGGCCCGGCAAATGACTTCCAGCGGGCTGTACACCACCGGCTGTATACCAGGCTGTTCCAGCTGGCTGATGTTCTTAAAGTGAGTATGTTGTTAATTTGCAGCGAAAATTTCCGTTTGCAGTGCTTACCTGTGGGAGAAACAGTCCAAGCTGACCAGCAGTTGAATGACGTCCAGGATACGCGAGCAGAGCAAAAGTAGCGAACACACTATCCCCATATGGAGACGTTTGCGTTGCCAGTTCGAAGAGAATCTCCTCCAACTGATTAACTTTGCTTGCAAAGGCTCGTGACTGAAGAATTATGCAAGCAAGCCGATGATTTTTGGTGTCCAGCTCCAGCAACAGTTTATACATGTCCTTTGTGGCTTGCTTGGACTGGTTGCGCAGATGCGGAAAAGCAAGCAACGTCTGTCTTACATTATCAAGCTCTCCACTTTCGCCGTGAAGCTTACGACGCAGGCAGTGGTGCCGTGCAACGGTGCTGTGAGCTAGCTCAATTAGCGCAGCGATAATGTTGTCACATTGCATGCAAGTGGGCAGCAGTGATGACTGATCGGGGTTGGTGTTTATGTGTTTT